CTCTTAGGAATTCTCTCAAAATAAAGGAACTCGGCCCTCTGCATTGTCATAGTCTAAGACATTGGCTTAGCAATGGCCCAGAAACCCTCACTGAACTATTATTAGAATTTCTACTAACCAAGATACATGTCCGTGAAATACTTTTGAATAGCAGAGAAGTTCCTGAAGTAAAAGAGAAGAGCGAGGGTCTATATGGGCAGAAGGCAATATGGAAGCTCAGGCCAGAGGAGGTGTTTGGGTCCAATGGAAAGAGAAACAGAGGCTAAAGTTGTGGGTCTAGTTTGATTCCATCACTGCACTGGTTATCTGATCTTCGCACAGATCACCTTGAAGAAACTGAGGTTTGCACAGTTCATCTGTCAATAGAGGAGAGTATCTTTCCTACTATTCTCATGTGGTTATGAGGAAGAAAACACATATGATGAAGATGTAAGTTCAAGGTGCCACATTATAGTGTAAGTGTCAGGTTTGAGGAAATGGGAAGGGGAGACTCTGGGATCACGGCAGTTACATAGTAAAGGCTGCCATCCCTATGACTAGAATCCATATGGCTCTGGACACAAGAGTTCTGCTACCACACCTACTGGTCACTGTATACATTTCCCTTTTGAATTCTCTACAAACCAGAATTTTCTGGTCCCTGTGCTAGCCTCGGCCCATATTAGAAAGCTTCAACTGACCTCTCTCACAAAGCCTCTGCAATTTAGGAGAAGAGATTTTGTGGTTTGACCTGATGCTGACATCCTAGCCAAGCCAAAGACCAGAGCCCACGCCATCCAAATTACAGGTGACATGATGGAAATGCTCTTTCTTTTCAGGTGTGAATTGTGCAACATGACCCTGGGCCATTGTGGACAGGGGCCAGCACTAAAGTGGGAGAGTGAAAAGACAGTGAAAATCATCAGAAGAACCAGTGAGTATCCAGAAAAATTGACATGACAATGAACAGATATATTGTGCCACTAAAATTATACCTTAACCTATATACTTAGCTTTGGACCTGAGGGAGAAGGACAGCTAGCTCCCATTGATTGAAAAAAAAAGAATTTGGGTCTCAAAGTCTGGATCCTGATGCCTTGCTGTGATATTAGGAGTCAAAAGGGGATTTGGAACAAGCTGTCTGAAAGCAGCGTCTGGATGGGAGGGAAATCTCAGTGCTGAGGAGACAGAAGAGGAAGAGCCACAAGGGCTTCCTGGCCTCCTTATCCTTGCCATCCATGCACCCTCTCACCATAAGTAGAGAAAAAAAAGATTAAAAATTTTTTTATTTATTTACTTTTTAAAAAGTAAGTGTGACATCCAATATGGGGCTTGAACTCATGACCCCAAAATCAAGAGTCACATGCTCTTCCAACTGAGCCAGGCTGGCATCCCAGAAATGAGCTGTTTAAGGTATAAGAGCACAGAGTGGGACGAGAAGGGCAAAGAAATGAGATGTGCACAGTGATCTCTTTCCCTTTCCGAATTTCTTTGGAATTTACTATTATGACCAGAAACTCAGTCTTTATGTTGTCAGATATCTCTTTCTGTGGAATGTCATTTCTCCTCAACTAAATGGCATGCTCTTTGTTTTATCTTGCTCCCAGTTCCCACATAGTGGATACTTCAAGGGTTTGGTTGATAGAAGTGGTTACATGTGTCCTCTCAGGAGGAACTATCTTTTTAATTAAGTAAATTTAATTTTTTATTAATTATTTTTTAAAAAGATTTATTATTTATTTGACAGACAGAGATCACACGTAGGTGGAGAGGCAGGCAGGGGATGGGGGGAAGCAGGCTCCTTGCTGAGCAGAGAGCCCGATGCGGGGCTTGATCCCAGGACCCTGGGATCATGACCTGAGCCAAAGGCAGAGGCTTAACCCACTGAGCCACCCAGGCGCCCCTTTTTTATTATTTTTATTAACATATAATGTATTATTTGCCCCAGGGGTACAGGTCTGTGTATCTTCAGGCTTACACATTTCACAGCACTCACCATAGCACATACCCTCTCCAATGTCCATAACCCAACTACCCTCTCCACATCCCCCCTCTCCCCAGCAACCCTCAGTTTGTTTTGTGAGATTAAGAGTCTCTTATGGTTTGTCTCCCTCCTGATCCCATCTTGTTTCATTTTTTTCCTTCCCTACCCCCCTAACCCCCTACTCTGCCTCTCAAATTCCTCATATCAGGGAGATCATATGATAATTGTCTTTCTTTGATTGACTTATTTCGCTCAGCATAATACCTTCTAGTTCCATCCACGTTGGTGCAATTGGCAAGATTTCATTTCTTTTGATGACTGCATAGTATTCCATTATATATGTGTGTGTGTGTGTGTGTGTGTGTGTGTGTATCACATCTTCTTTATCCATTCATCTGTTGATGGACATCTAGGTTCTTTCCATAGTTTGGCTACTGTGGACATTGCTGCTATAAACATTTGGGTGCAGGTGCCCCTTCGGATCACTACACTTGTATCTTTAGGGTAAATACCCAGTAGTGTGATTGCTGGGTTGTAGGGTAGCTCTATTTTCAACTTTTTGAGGAAAGGAGGAACTATCTTGAGGAGAGGATTGTAGTAGGGGCTGCTACATGTTTCCATGACAAAGTACTTGAGAGTGACTCAGCCTAACAGCCAATCTGGTTGCTCCCAATGAGCGAAAGAGAGAGAGACAGAGAGAGAGAGAGAGAGAGAGAGAGAGAGACTGACTCTATTTACAGAGACCAGGCTCGCCTGGCACCTTTGTCAACCAAGCTTGTCCGTGCTGACTGCTCTTGCCTCTCAGCCTCTTGGTCAGAAGAGCATGGGAAATGTACACGTCTCGGGTTTGGCATTTTGCAGAGATATTTCCTTGGGGCTATTAGAGAATTGTTTTTTAGATCTAACTTTTGTTTAAAAACTACACTGGAAGTTCTGGTGGCTGTTTGCTCCAAGCGATATCTTCATCCTCAAACATTACTCAGGGCTAAAAGGGACATTGTGCCACCTCTTGAGGAAGCAAAGTTCCCACTTTCCAAGCCTAGCGGTGAGGCTGGGAAGTCTGTATACAACCGCGGGTGGGGCCGGTTATCAGTTTTACAGAAACTCCAACCAGGATAGGGTTGCCTAAGAGGGGGTTGGTCCAAAAAAACTTCATAGAACCTGAAATGGACCTTGAAGCAAGGGTCAAATCTGACTAACCGAAAAAAGATAATGTATTGTGTGGAGTAAATGACTTCATTTTAGCAGGTTTCATATGGTCACATAAAGTTGGAAAAGGTTTTGGAAAAGCTTGACTTCCAGATTTACAGTTTGCATTTTAATCAGTAAGCACTAGGAAGTCATTAAATATTTGTGAGCAAGTGTATGAATGGGTCAAAGAATTGGTACCGGAGACGATGGTGGGGGGGGGTGCTAGCTGGGAAAAGTCACAACAGTCCCTACAGATTATTGGACTACGGAGTATCAAACTAAGCTTGTAGCAGAGAATGGGAGGCACAGCACTCAATTCTCTGAACTTCTGTCTTGGAACACTGTTTGCATGTTGTTGGCTTGAATTAAAAATATGTGGGAAAAGTTCCTGATCCTTGCTTTCTTCATCTCTCCTGACCACTTTCCCCAGGAAAGTGGAAAGAAAACTGCCCTATTACCTGCTAATTGTCCTCAGGCAACTCACTGGGCTCCACTGGACCTTCATTATCTCATTTAAATCGGATGATCATAATTTTACCTGCCGGAAGGTAGAGTGCTGGAGTACAGAATATCTTGATGATCTTTTCAACTCTTTGAGTGCCTTGCTTGTGTTTTTTTTTTTTTTTAATATTTATTTATTTACATGATCTCTGCACCCAACCTGGGGCTCCAGTTCACCACTGGGAGATCGAGTCGCTCCATCTTTCAATTGAGGCAGCCAGGCACCCCTCTTTTCCATTTTTAATTCTTCAGAACTCTCCAACATCTGCTTTCCCTCAATAGCTATTTCATCCCAGTCTGGGAAAAACCACTTGGGGTTCGATCTGGGGTGTGTATAACTTCCCCAGATTTTCTGGTTGACGTGGTGGTTGAGGCCGGGATGGAAAGGTCTTCAAATCCAACCCGGACGAGGAATCTGTGGCTGACTGAAGTGGTCATTGCCTCCCAACTAACACCACGTCTACTCTTACTATTAAAGTAGGAAGGAGGGTCGTCCCGGGCCCCGAGAGGCCCTGAAGCCAAAGCCTCAGGCGTCGGTCACCCCCCGCCCCCCAGCTCTTCCCCAGAGTGGCCGCTCCCCCACTCCCCCACTCCGCGCCCCCCTTCAACTCACCTCCTACTTCACTTCTGCTTGAGGCGCCACGCCGTTAAGTGCCTGGGGGGTACCTCAGTTCCCCTCAGTCACACAGATTTCGGATCAGAACTCTCCCCCTCCAACACCCCAACCGTCCGAGTCGACGAAGGCGCCAATCTCGGACCGCATCTCTTGCTGCCCCAAGGAGGCCAAAAGGGGTTCTTCCCCGGGGTTTCTCAGGGGCGGAGCCCACCTGGGCCGCGGGGCCGGGGCGGGGGCCGGGGCCGGGGCCGGGGCCGGGGCGGGGGCGGGGGCGGGACAGGTGGGTATGCGGTCGCGCCAAGGGCTGGGCCAAAGAGCCGGAGCGGGAGGCGGCGGAGGAGAGGCGGGCGGGCGCACACCTAGGGAAGCCTCCCTGTGGGCAGTGTGAGAGCGAGCGGGCGAGGAGGCGGGCGGGCGGGAGGCGGCGAGCCTGCGACGAGGAGAGGCGTGGAGAGGAGAGCCGGGCGCCGAGGACACTCGGGGGAGGAGGCGCCGGGTCTGCTCGCGGAGAGAGACCTGCGAGGCGCCGGCGCAAGGCGCCCGCGCAGCCGGAGGGACCCCTTGCGCGCGGAGCATGAGCCCGCGGCCGGCTGGAGAGCGGCAGGGGGAGACGGCCTCGGCGCAGCCCTGAGACGCTGGGCTGGGGCTGGGCCACCGCGCGCCCGGGGCGCTGGGCCCGGCTGGGTGCGGAGCGTCCCGCGCTGGCTGCTGCCGCCGGAGCGCCAAGCCATGGGGAGCCCCCGGGCCGCGCTGCTCCTGCTGCTCCTGCGCCCGGTCAAGCTGCTGCGGAGGCGCTTCCGGCTGCTGCTGGCGCTCGCCCTGGTGTCCGTGGGGCTGTGGACTCTTTATCTGGAACTGGTGGCGTCGGCCCAGGTCGGCGGAAACCCCCTGAACCGGAGTAAGTGAGCGCCGGGGGCACGGGGAGGGCGCGGAGGTGGGAGGAGGCAGGACCGGTGGTTCCCGGGTTGCGGAGACCCGCCTCTCATCCTCAGACCCGATTTCCAACTCCTTTTCGTCTCCAGGTGCCCGGCGCCGCCCCGCTGCCTACTCCGGGAAGAGAAGGGGGGCGTGGGGGCCTGTCGCCGAGTTCCGAAACCGGGCCTGCCCGCTGGGCCGTGTGGGGCCAGGGCATCCTCGGGGCTGCTGGCTGCTCCCCTCGGAGGACGGCGTGGAGAGAGGCTCCCGCCCGCCCCCCTCCACCCGCGGAAATGCGGGCGGAGACGCGGGGCACCTCCCGCACGCTACGCTTGCAGCCACCCCCCACCCCAGCAAGGGAAACGCGCGGTCCAGGCGTGGGCTGGGGGTCTGTGCCCAGGGTGCTCTCGGCCGTGTGCCCCCCCGAGGAGGCGCGCTCCGGTTAGCGCGGCCCAAACTTTTCTCTGTGGCTCGCTCCGTTTCCTCTCCCTCTGCGCTTTCTGCGGTTCTTTATTTGAACCATACCTCCGAGAGTCCCCCCCCCCCTCCCCCTTCCTCTGCGCCACTACCGCACACCCGGTCCCTTCCTCTTCCTCACTGAGCCGGGCCCCTCTCCTAGTCCTGACCACCCTTCCAGCTAGTTATCCGAAACTCTTTTTGGAACTCTTCGGAACGTACTGAACTCACCAGATCCTGGGCATGGAGACAATGGACGGCACAGTGCACCAGGCAGTGGCTACATCCCTACTCCTCTGTTTAACGTAGCCAGAGCCACTTACTTTTTCTGTGCCTCAGTTTCCTGCTAGGAACATGGGAGGGAACGGTCTCTTTCTCGTTTTCCTCCCAACATCTATGGCTGTCCGACGTCATTTTCAGTTTACTGTTGATGGAGCTAACAAAGTAAAATTTCAAGAGTGTCAGGGACTGTAAAAGGTCAACAGTGGAGAAGCTCCCAGAGAGGAGGCTCCCTGCGCAAGCCTGACGAGTGGAGGTTCATAGTTGGAGCACATTGTCTCCCATGCCTTCACTTCCCCCTTTGAGGAAATTCTGAAGTTATATGCGGTGATGAAATTGCTGGTGAGAAGATGCTTTGACATGTCCTCCTGTCAACTGCTCTGCCCAGAGTTGGGTGTGGTGCCTCGTCTCCTCCTGTGGCCAAAGGGAGGGAATTACTAGGGTCAGTAATTGTGCTGGTTCAGGGTAGAGACATATACTTACCGCAGAACCTCTCTGTTGAAGTAATTCTGGCTGTAAGTAGGGAGAGTGGGGTGCCAGTCCTGGTTCTGCCACTAACAAGTTTGGGGAGCAAAGGGAAAATGGCAGCTTCTCAGGTAGAAGGAGGAAGTTGGACTGAATGATCTCTAAGGTCCCTCTGGGTCTGGATGCTTAGGTTGTGTGATCTCGCCTCTTGGGCTTTTCTGGGGCCAGAGAGCTCGAGGAGGGCTCTGCTTAGCCACAGCTCCACAGCTCCAAATAGGAGAGTTCTTCCTTATGGTGACCAAAACTCGCCTTCCCATAGCTAGTTCTTCCCTCCCCTGAACCTTGAAAGACAGTGCTCTTCCATACTCTGGCCACTCAGCCCCTTGAAGTGTGTGCAGGTGGGAGCTCCCTTCTCTCCTCCTTGGGACACCCCTTCTCAAAGTAACCACCATTTTGTTAATGTGGTAGCCAGTGGGATCCTCTGCATAGACTAAAAACAGAGGAAAGCAGTTGCTTTGTGATCCTGAAATTAGTGATGTCTCTTCTTCCTCCCACCCGCACCCCAACACACTTTCCCTTTACCTCAAGTGTGCTTTTTCCTCAGAGACCAGAACCAGTTTGCCATCATCATAATCTCACACTCTGGCTCCTACCCTGACTCCTGTTGGCTGTCTCATCCTTAGCTATCAATTTGTGGGGCTGTTTGGTTTCCCTTCTAGATGAATCTTAACTCTGACTGGGTTTCCATATTCTTTCTTTTTCCATACTGACCCTTCTCCAGAAAGATGTTCCCAGCTTCCAGTTCCAGCAATGTCTTTGTTTGTCTAACCATCATTTTTAATGAGAGCCCAGGCCTGGACACTGATGGGTCTTTCGTTTGCTTATCTCAGCCTCCTAGAACCCCGAAACCCATCTGCTTTGCAGGGTGACTTTTAGTGCTGGGCTGTCTCATTGTATTCTACTCTTGCCTGGATTTCCTTTTGGAATGAGATTTAGACAGTGGCTGTGGTTTCTGGCTCCTTGTCTCCCATCCTTCTTTGTTTTCAAGAAGCCCAGACATCTTTCATCGAAGTCCTCTCCTGTCCTATAGGTCTTAGTCCCAGCTCAGAGCTGTTTCTCTGGAGGGAGAGCAGGAGAGGAGGAATTAAAGAACAGAGGTAAGGAAAGGTTTCCTGGCATTCCCTCCTTTATACCCCGACATACCAACAGCAACCAGGCAATAGAACTTTCCCTCCCAGGACTGTACCCGTGGCCTTGACCACAGCAGCCAGAGTCCCAGCTTGGCTCTGCTTCCCAGCAAGCCACCCTGCCTCCTCTCCCTAGTAATCCCTGCCAACTCACTCTACCATCAGCCTTCCTGTCATCTGTAAGGCCTGCCTCCTTTACCAAGAACCTTTCATTTGCCTGTCCCTGTATGACGGGTACATTGATCTGACGCTGGAAGAAGTGTACAGAGGAATGGCAGACCCAAACTCCAGGGTGGTAAAGTAATGACAGGGGGAGCAAGCTTCCTGCTTCATCTCCATGGAATAACCCAGTAGTTTAAGATATGGATGATGTGTAGTTTGGGTTCTGTATGTAGAAGGAGATACAACCACAACTTGAGTAACCTCAGAGAAAAACAACCCAAATCTTTAACAGATAGAAAATGGGTCCCTTGGACAAAAGAATTAGAACTGTTCACTCATTCACTTAAACAAATATTTATTGAGCACATACCTTGAGCAAAGCCTTGTGCTAGGTCACTTCAATGTAATGGTGAGCAGATTATGTTGTCTGCCCCTCAACAGCTTTCTCTCTATGAGGGGAGTTGAGGTACATATATAAAAATAACTGTAATATGGAACAGTCATTAAGTTTTACAACTGGGGACACTAGATGTTGCCGTGACACTCCTGGAAATGGGATACGGCTCTTCCAACTAATATTTCATGCAAATGGTGACATTTCAGGAGAGCTTGAGAAGTTGGTAAGATTTTAATGGATATGGAAAGAGAAGGCTATTCCAGGCAGAAGGCAGTATAAACAAAGACCAGGGAAAAGTTAGCGTTTGGGAATGTTGAGCATCTGGGTTTGATGAAGCAGAGAGTAGGAGGGAGGAGATAGGATGGCGCTATATTATGAAAGACTTTGAAAGCAACCTTCAAGACTGACATTTATTCAGTAGATAAGAGAAGGCAGTTTGGGAATAGGGTAGGTAACCTTGTAGAATGGAGCCGGCCAGGATCAAGCAGTTTTGTGATACTTTGGCCTGGAAGATGCCTAAACAGGGCTCTGAAGGTCCCTTGCTGTGGCTGGCACGAGCCCTTTAGCTGCTGAGTCATGAAGCTCTCCTGGGGGCAGGTCAGGGTGGTCAGGGGCATTCAGAGGGTTTGGGGGCAGTCACTCTATGCCAGCATGTTCAGAAGTCTTTCGGTAGTTGAATAACTAGTACGGCCATACTGAAGTGTACCCGCTGAGACGCAGCCCTGGGAACAGACTATTATTGGACGTTAAAGACTCCATCCTGGCAGGTTTTAACAAGTTATACCCATTTGTTCAGATTGGATTAGCTAAATCCTGCCCGAGGGCAGAGGTCTGGACCAAAATGGTTTCTAGGTTCTTTGCTCTATAATTGACCTACTGCTGGGACCAACTTGGTGCTGGAGCCAAGAGATTGCGTTCGTGCCCAGAGCCAGGACAGAATGATAGCATGCAGCGGCCCCTTTCTAGATCTCGAAAGGCTGGTTCCGACGTGTCCCTGTTTCTCAGGGTCAGGTTTACCCGCTGAACCCTAGAGTGTCCTCAGGCTCAGGAATGAATTGACTTGCTGCATTACATCTGTAACACACCTTTCCAGTTGGCCCCTGTAACTTTCGATGGACTCCTTAGTGGGCGGAGGGGGGCATACCCACCGAAGGCAGCCAGGCACCTCAGCTCCTGGGGTCAACATGTCACGCTGGTTTGGAAAGGATACAGACCCTCCCTAGCAGAGGTAGGAGTCTGAGCCACAGGCAGAGAGAGGGAGAGTAAGTCAGACAGATGTGTGGGCAGAGTGGGGCTGGTGTGGCTTAGGGCCGACCCTCAGAGCAGAGGTGAGTGTTGGAGAGGAGCACACCTCCTTCTGTGCTCCATGTGGCTAGGGAACCATGTCTCCTCTGCCCCTCCTTCCCGTTGAACCTTGTTTCCTGTGTCCTACTTAAGGCCCCTTTTTCTGCTGCCACCCTGGGCACCTGGCTGCTGTGTGTATATTCAGATCAGCATTCCACTCCGGGCACACACTAGGCGCTTGACTAAATACCTCCTGGTTATGGATGGTAAGCTCTGAATTTCCAAGCACCTGATATTTTCCACTGGCAGATACTTTATCAGTGACTGATCCAAGAATAGAACCTAGGAATTCTTGTTCCTTGTAGCGTAGCACATATAAACAACAATAGCCTTTCCACACATATGCGAAGGGTAAGAATTAAGCCATCAATGCCTTTTTACATAAGTGTATTTTCTTTGGACCCAGGGACCTGCGGGACCCAGAATGCTGTGTGACAGGGAGTAGGAGACCTTACCCAGACTTGGCATCTCCTTTCCCTGGTCTCTTCCGTTCTCCTTCTGATATGGCCAGGACAGCTGCAGGAGCACACCTTGCCATCTACCCGGCCCACACCCCCCGGGGGGGCCCTTGGTCTGGAGTTGAGGCCCCTGCTCCTCCGCCCCATTCGCCTGCTCAGGGCTGCGGAGGTTTCTTAACGCTCCCTGTACAGGGAGTTGTTCAGACACCCTGCCTGGGTAGAACTGCTTCAGAGC